ATGACTTTTAACATGACTTTTAACATGACTTTTAACATGACTTTTAACATGACTTTTAACATGACTTTTAACATGACTTTTAACATGACTTTTAACATGACTTTTAACATGACTTTTAACATGACTTTTAACATGACTTTTAACATGACTTATTGTTCATGACCTGGTCAAATAAAACGTATTAGCTGACCTACATTTGGAGGAAGTAAAATACAAAGTATCAAGTTAACTTCGAAAATAAACTTGACATCATTCATACACAAATTAATGGCATTTGCCAAGTTTGTTATATTTCACTCTGACGAGATGGGTTCACTAGCAAGTCCCATCTTTGTGAAAGGACTTTGGTGTCAGAGACAGTGGTGTGGAGTTTCCATCGTTATTAAATAGTTTCAAGGAAACCTTCAAGGAAACCTTCAAGGAAACCTTCAAGGAAACCTTCAAGGAAACCTTCAAGGAAACCTTCAAGGAAACCTTCAAGGAAACCTTCAAGGAAACCTTCAAGGAAACCTTCAAGGAAACCTTCAAGGAAACCTTCAAGGAAACCTTCAAGGAAACCTTCAAGGAAACCTTCAAGGAAACCTTCAAGGAAACCTTCAAGAAAACCTTCAAGGAAACCTTCAAGAAAACCTTCAAGGAAACCTTCAAGGAAACCTTCAAGGAAACCTTCAAGGAAACCTTCAAGGAAACCTTCAAGCTTTTGTCAAATTCAATACAAAGCCTGTGCCTAATAGTGCACATTCAAACACAGACAAATCTTGTCTGTCTGCGGCTTGTGATGCCTAATAGTGCACATTCAAACACAGACAAATCTTGTCTGTCTGCGGCTTGTGATGCCTAATAGTGCACATTCAAACACAGACAAATCTTGTCTGTCTGCGGCTTGTGATGCCTAATAGTGCACATTCAAACACAGACAAATCTTGTCTGTCTGCGGCTTGTGATGCCTAATAGTGCACATTCAAACACAGACAAATCTTGTCTGTCTGCGGCTTGTGATGCCTAATAGTGCACATTCAAACACAGACAAATCTTGTCTGTCTGCGGCTTGTGATGCCTAATAGTGCACATTCAAACACAGACAAATCTTGTCTGTCTGCGGCTTGTGATGCCTAATAGTGCACATTCAAACACAGACAAATCTTGTCTGTCTACGGCTTGTGATGCCTAATAGTGCACATTCAAACACAGACAAATATTGTCTGTCTGCGGCTTGTGATTCTCTTCCTAGATAAGGTAAAGAACAAGTCATGAGAATCAAGTTAACTTTTTGCAAAATGTTATTTCCAGGGCACATCATACGCCTGGTACAGCAGGAAACATCAAGGGCGTATCCTATAACTGGCGAAGCAGGGTACATCCTACGCCTGGTGCAGCAGCGCACATCCTCAGCCTAGCACTTCAAGGCATCCTATGCTATGCGTAGTGGGGCACATCCTAAGCCATTTGTAGTAGATAACAGAAGGACACATCCTACGACTTTTGTAGTAGAGCACAGAAGAAAACCAGAATCATTATCATGAACCCCCCCCCCCTTTTCCTCTTTATTTCCAAGTGTGTAAGTCCCAAGGAAGTATTCAAAAGTCTTGAAGACATTGTTAGTGATTTATACCTTTGACATTAGCTTTTACAGTGATGTAGACAGAGGGACATAATAAAGAAAATGTACCCAATGCTCTGTGATTGTTTTCTAAATGCACTTTGAGATGTTCCCAATGCACTATGTTCTTTATTTCAATGCACTGTAAAATTAGCCAAACGAACATTGATTTGTTGTCTCAAAGCCATGTAAAATCATGTTTCATTTGCACTATGCATTTTTCACAATACCCTGGGAAATAGGTGCCCTATGCACTATGCATTTTTCTCAATGCACTGGAAATATGTGCCCTGTGCTTATCAATTTGTAATGTTTCCTATGCATCATATAATGTTGCCGGTGAACTGTGAAATGTTGCCTGTGCACTATGGAATGTTACATATGCACTGTGAAATGTTTCCTGTGCACAATAACATGTTACATGTGCCCGATGCTTTAGATAAAAGACTAACACTTCATAAATGTATAAAAACAGTGGAAGTCAAGTTTTAACCCCCCCCCCTCCCTACATACTATGGCGCTATCGGGGCGGGGGCTATTATTTAGGGGCTCCTTTGGGGCTATTACATGGGGCTGATATGGGGGCTCCTATAAGTAGGCTCCTTAAGAGGGCTCTTATAAAGAGATATATATTGGGGCTCCTTAGGGGGCTCTTTATGGGGCTCCAAGGGGGACTCCTACAGAAGCTCCTACAATTTGGCTCCTTAAGAGGGCTCTTATAAAGAGAGATCTATGGGAGGCTCCTAGAGGGGGCTATTATAGGTGGTGCCTATAAGGGGGACTACTCCATGGGGACACCTATAATAAATATCATATCAATCTTGATGCAAATGACTTCCATGAAGAAATGCAGCTTTCAGTCTATCAGTTTTAAAGCTTTGGACCACCGAATGAGGGAAATGGACTAAATACATGGTTTCCAAGAGGAACAGAGGCTGAATGTTAGTTATAGCAATGGACTTTGTAAATGCTGTGGGTGAGATAATGAACTGTGGGAATGATGTCAAAGATGTAATGAACTGAGTGAATGATGTCAATAATGTAATGAACTGAGTGAATGATGTCAAAGATGTAATGAACTGTTGGAGTGATGTCAAAGATGTATTAAACTCTGGGAATGATGTCATTGGTGTAATGAACTGTAAGAATGATGACAATAATGTAAATGGAGTTTGGGAATGATGTCAAAGATGTAATGAACTCTGGGAATAATTTAATTGATGTAATGGCCTGTATTTGGTCTGTCAGTGGCTATTAAGTAATAACATCTGTCTTACATTTATTTATAAATTCTTCAATCTAATTGTTCGAAACATTTTAATGTTTATTACGCCAGAGCTCATGGCGAGCAGACATTGATTTCAGTCAAGTGGTCCAGGTAACGTGTTGCCGTACTGTAACTTTCTTATTTTAAACTCCAATTATGCGGTAGCCGTTAATAGCCAAACTTCTATTAACCGAAGCCAATCATGTGAAGACGTCAGGGGACCATCTGATCGCCCAGAGATGGCCTATATAAGACCGGCCACTGGACGCTAAGATCGTGTAAAACCTTGCAGTAGCCACAGCAGCAACTGCAATACAAGATATTAGCTCATTGAAACCTGTGAGTATGTTATACTTAGACTTGGACTTGGTTCAGCCTAGGATCTGTTGAACAGTAGGTACCATAGACTTAGACTTGCCTTTGTTCAGCCTAGGATCTGTTGAACAGTAGGTACCAAAGACTTAGACTTGGACTTTGTTCAGTCTAGGATCTGTTAGACATTGGTGTACAGCAGATTTCATGATGGGCTTATAGAAGGTACCATAGAGGCATAAATTGGAGAGTTCAAGTTAGATTTTACATAGAATAATAGGGGAGAAATTACGGGAATAGAAAAAAAATTATTTAATTTTGTTTCAAGAAATTATTTGAAAAAGAAAATTGCCATGATTTCTTTTTTAATGATTTGATTTTTAACATTAAAAAAAATAAATTTCTGAAAACGAAAGTTTTTAAATGTATGAAATTTTAAAATTATTCAGATTTAATTAAGAAATGTTGAACGGACTTGAACATCAGCCAGAACGTATCAGAGAAACCAACCAATGTTGGCAAGTCTTAACTATTCACATTTCTATAATACAACCTTACTGAAGGCGTGCCAAGTAGTGTTAATTCAGCCCCCCTCAAATACCCAATGGCAACAATCTGATACCCCCTTTTACCACCCCACACCCCGCCCCCCCCCCCCCCAAAAAAAAGACATACCACAGGGATTTAATTTAAGCCGGTACTTTAATGTTACTCATATTATTCTGTTTCTCCCTCTTACTCCATATTATTCCTTGTTACTCCCTCTTACTCCATATTATTCTATGTTACTCCCTCTTACTCCATATTATTCTATGTTACCTTCTCTTACTCCATATTATTCTGTTACCTTTTCTTACTCCATATTATTCTATGTTACCTTCTCTTAATCCATATTATTCTATGTTACCTTCTCTTACTCCATATTATTCTGTTACCTTCTCTTACTCCACGTGAGAAAACGCTGTAAACTTACAATGAATATAACGACATGTTAAACATTGCTGACATCCTTCAACGTTCCAAGCAACCAACAGCTCCGACAAGTTAGCATTCAAAGACATGTTTTATTTTTTTTTACTCCAAGTAAATTTTCTAGAGAATTATTCATAGTAAGAATGAGTATTAATATAGAGAATATTTAATAGTATGAATGAGTGTTTAACTAGAGAATATTTCACACTATGAATGAATGTTGATGGTCACTGTGATTGCCAAATGATTGTGACCAATACAAGTAATGTTTTCTTTTCCAGCCGACCATGTCACGTTCATTCCAAATAGTTTTTGCCTGTCTCCTCGCCGTGGCACTTGCCCAACGTGATCCTGATGACAGGGAAGTAGGTAAGTAACAACTCGTAATCAAATGTAGCACTGTAGCTACGTAGCACTGTTGAACTTATATTATACTTCCACATCCGTCATAGTGAAACCTCGTCCACTTTCAAAAAGTCCCTTAAAACCCATCTGTTTAGGTCCGCCTATGACCTGTGATGCATCCTCCTTGCCCTGCCTCATTTTCTGTCTCTGGTTGATCCTGTAGTATAGGCCAAAACGTGCCAAACTGTACTCGTTTTTATAGCCATTTTCATTGTTTCTATAGTATAGTAGTTACTATCCTAATGTCTCATTTTTATTTTACTTAGTTTACATGTTTTTAATAATTGTAATGCGCTTAGAGCTTTAAGGTAAGCGTTATATAAAAATGCCTAAATAAATACTGTATGTTTAATGACGTTATAAGTACACAAATTACCGTTCAATATGTAACATATAGGCGAGTGCTTCAATTGGAATAAACTGAAAATGGCTTCCGTGACACACACCCAAACAGTCTATTTTTGTCTATCTTCCTTTCTATGTATAAATCAGTCTGACTAAGTTAATCTGTATGTCTATATTGGTGGCTGTCTATTCCAATCATCCACTTCGTATGATTCTTCTTGTCTAATCAAACCATCCACTTCACATGCTTCTACTTGTCTCATCCAACCATCCACTTTGTATGCGTCTTCTTGTCTAATCCAACCATCTACTTCACATACTTGTCTCATCTAACCATCCACTCCAGATGCTTCTACTTGTCTCATCCAACCATCCACTTTGTATGCGTCTTCTTGTCTAATCCAACCATCTACTTCACATACTTGTCTCATCCAACCATCCACTCCACGTGCTTCTACTTGTCTCATCCAACCATCCACTCCACGTGCTTCTACTTGTCTCATCCAACCATCCACTCAACGTGCTTCTACTTGTCTCATCCAACCATCCACTTTGTATGCTTCTACTTGTCTCATCCAACCATCTATTCTCTAGACAAATGTGACCGTAAGATCGACATCGCCATCATCGGTGCTGGTGTCTCCGGCACATACGCCGCCTACCACCTGAGAAACGCCAGCAAGACCATCGAAATCTTCGAGCAAAGCGACCGCATTGGTGGCCGCCACTACACCACCTACCTGGAGGGCGTCGCCGTTGACCTGGGCGCCATGATGTACAGTGCCGACAAACACTTCAGAATGGCGGAACTTGTAGAGGAACTCGGTGGGTACAACACATAAGTGTCTAGACGAACTCGGTGGGTACAACACATTAGTGTCTAGACAAAGTTGCTGGGTACAACACATTAGTGTCTAGTCAAAGTTGGTGGGTAAACACATTAGTGTCTAGACAAAGTTGGTGGGTACAACACATTAGTGTCTAGACAAAGTTGGAGGGTACAACACATTAGTGTCTAGTCAAAGTTTGTGGGTACAACACATTAGTGTCTAGACAAGGTTGGTGGGTACAACACATTAGTGTCTAGACAAGGTTGGTGGGTACAACACATTAGTGTCTAGACAAAGTTGGAGGGTACAACACATTAGTGTCTAGACAAAGTTGGAGGGTACAACACATTAGTATCTAGTCAAAGTTTGTGGGTACAACACATTAGTGTCTAGACAAGGTCGGTGGGTACAACACATTAGTGTCTAGACAAGGTTGGTGGGTACAACACATTAGTGTCTAGACAAGTTTGGTGGGTACAACACATTAGTGTCTAGACAAGGTTGGTGGGTACAACACATTAGTGTCTAGACAAGGTTGGTGGGTACAACACATTAGTGTCTAGACAAAGTTGGAGGGTACAACACATTAGTGTCTAGTCAAAGTTTGTGGGTACAACACATTAGTGTCTAGACAAAGTTGGTGGGTACAACACATTAGTGTCTAGACAAAGTTGGTGGGACCAACACATTAGTGCCTAGACAAATTTGACAGTGCTGACTCTTAAATTATAGTCTAGCCAAAGTTGATAACTAAGTTTACTCTGAAATTAGTTTCTAGAGATATGGATCAAAACGTGTCTTTGGAAGTGGATTCAATTAAAATTGCTCATGTGCGGTTGGACAAGTGTCGGTGCTATCACAAAGCTCTTCGGTTTAAATAAAATGTTACATCAACATGTCGGGCGACAACACTATTTTCATAATTATGATAGAGAATTATTTAAAACTAGTCAGAGCTCGCCAGATATTGGTGACAGCAATGCATGAACTTCCTCCCATCCACTAAAGTTACTTGACGAAACATGAACACAAGTGACGCACATTTATGAATCCAAATTTTTGCTAGGGTTGAGGGGGGGTAGCGTTGATTGAGCTGAACCTTTTACTCAATTATTCCCTTTTCTTTAAATGATTGAGTTTCTTGTGATTGTTTAAGAGCTCACCCAAGAGGAGTTCAAGCATGCATTCGGTAAGCCCGAAGAGAAGCTGTACTACATGAGAGAACAGAATCTAAACCAGAATGACATCAAGAATGGCAATGTGCCCTACTCTCTCACACCTGAGGAGAAAAGGAACTCTGGCCGCTTCGTCAGGTACACAGATCTTTCTGGCCCAGTCTATGGCAGGGGTTCTCAACCTCCCTAATGCCGCGACCCCTTAATACTGTTCCTCATGTTGTGGTGACCCACCCACCCCCCTCAGACCCAACCTAAGATTATTTTCATTGCTACGTCATAAATATGTGTTTTCCGATGGTCTTAGGCGACCCCTGTGTAAGGGTCGTTCGACCCCCCCCACCTGATCACAGACCACAGGTTGAGAACCGCTAGCCTAAAGGATTCGTTCCCTTGTCTACCACTACAGCCGTTGCGCGGGGTAGCAAACCTTTGTGTCTGTTGGCGGCCATTATTGCAATAATCCGATTGCATTTCCTTATTTCGGTTGATATTTCTTTTTACAATATTTTTTTTTTACATAATCTTAAATTGTCATCCATAAAGATGATCTCCTACTCTCCACCCCCGTGTCATCCATAAAGATGATCTCCTCCTCTCCACCCCCGTGTCATCCATAAAGATGATCTCCTACTCTCCACCCCCGTGTCATCCATAAAGATGATCTCCTACTCTCCACCGCCAAACCCACATTATTTTTAACAAGAAGTCTATACAGATATATATATATATATATATATATATATATATATATATATATATATATATATATATATATATATATATGTATACACATTATTTTTAACAAAAAGTCTATATATATATATATATATATATATATATATATATATATATATATATATATATATATATATATACATATATATATGTATTTAAGAATAAACCCGTATGGCATGGTTGCTCTAAGTAACTCAAGTATAAATTATCACATTCCCAATTTGGGGGTGGGGCGAGAGAAGGTGGATGTATAAATAGAGTTTTCCTTCTTATAGAAAAAAAAATAAGATAAGGTTCCCCTCTATAACATTGTATGCAGGGGCGTAGCTGGGCTAATATCCCCAGAAAGAGATTTTTTAACCCCCACCCGATGAAAAAACTGCATTTGGCCGAAATTCTTTTGACTAAATTCACAAAGGGGCTCCCGGTTGGGACACCCCACGCTACATCAGGGATTGTTCTTGCTCCCCTACCCCAGTCATAATATGCCCCCCCCCTTGTCTTGTAACCCTCGGTGTTATCTTGCCCACACGCAGGTACGTTCTGGAGAAACTCACAGGCTACAAGGAGGATGACTTCCCCAGAGAAGTGCGCCTAACACTCAAGGGACCCAACGATGTGCCACTGTACAAATACACGTGAGTGGAGCATTGGCGTGATAGGCCTGTTGTACCGTGACACTCTAAGGTCACTCTAAATAAGAAGTTTGTACCGTGACACACTAAGGTCACTCTAAATAAGAAGTTTGTACCGTGACACACTAAGGTCACTCTAAATAAGAAGTTTGTACCGTGACACACTAAGGTCACTCTAAATAAGAAGTTTGTATCGTGACACTCTAAGGTCACTCTAAATAAGAAGTTTGTATCGTGACACTCTAAGGTCACTCTAAATAAGAAGTTTGTATCGTGACACTCTAAGGTCACTCTAAAAAAGAAGTTTGTACCGTGACACTCTAAGGTCACTCTAAATAAGAAGTTTGTACCGTGACACTCTAAGGTCACTCTAAATAAGAAGTTTGTACCGTGACACTCTAAGGTCACTCTAAATAAGAAGTTTGTACCGTGACACTCTAAGGTCACTCTGAATAAGAAGTTTGTACCGTGACACTCTAAGGTCACTCTAAATAAGAAGTTTGTACCGTGACACTCTAAGGTCACTCTAAATAAGAAGTTTGTACCGTGACACACTAAGGTCACTCTAAATAAGAAGTTTGTATCATGACATTACATGTCAGTCTAAATAAAAATGTTTGTACCATGATATTAAACGCTGGAGTTTTAACCATGTTGTTACAAAGAAAATTAACTTAAAATATTGACCTATATTCTTTATAACAGGATAAAGACTCCATAGATCTCTTGACCTATTTTGATCACATGTTTAAGACTTCATTAATCTCTTAACCTATTTTCTTGATCCCATTTTTAAGCATCCCATAATCTCTTGGTTGGCCTATCTTCTTGATCCCATGTTTCGGCCTCCATTATTCTCTTGGTCTATTTTCTTGATCCTATTTTAAAGACTACATTAATCTATTGGCCTAGTATTTTTTATCCTATGTTTAAGACTTCCTTAATCTCTTGACCTATTTTCTTGATCCCATGTTTCAGCCTCCATTAATTTCTTGACCTATTTTCTTGATCCAATGTCTAGCATCGATGAAGCCCTTGACGCCGCACAGATCAGCAAGGAAGGCAAAGAGTTCTTCAAAGCCCTCATCAAGCTGGACTCTCACCTGTACAAGGATGCCAACGCCGTCACTGTCTTCAGCAACGATTTTGATTATGACAAGTAAGTCAATAAAAACATCTTTAGAATTTGGTCAATAAACACATCTTTAGAATTTGGTCAATAAACACATCTTTAGAAGTTTGGTCAATAAACACATCTTTAGAATTTGGTCAATAAACACATCTTTAGAAGTTGGTCAATAAACACATCTTTAGATTATTTTCTTAAAAACATTGATAATTTTAGGTTAAAAAAAAATCACGAGAAATTCTACCTAAATTTAAGTATTAAAGTAACTATTTTTGTTATTAAAATAACTGCATATTAATGAAACATCATTTTCAACTTCACCAAGGCAATCTTAGAATGTGTACTCATGTAGTTGATTCTTCTATGTTTATAACAGCGAAAACGCCACAATGTACAGACTCAAGGAAGGTATGGAGTCTGTCCCCACAAGACTTTCAAGCAAATTCCTTGAAGCCAGCGAAAAGTAAGTTCTTTAGAGGAAAAGTAAGTTCTTTAAGTTCTTTAGAGGAAAAGTAAGTTCTTTAGAGGAAAAGTAAGTTCTTTAGAGGAAAAGTAAGTTCTTTAGAGGAAAAGTAAGTTCTTTAGAGGAAAAGTAAGCTCTTTAGAGGAAAAGTAAGCTCTTCAGAGTAAAACTAAGTTCTTTAGAGGAAAAGTAAGCTCTTCAGAGTAAAACTAAGTTCTTTAGAGGAAAAGTAAGTTCTTTAGAGGAAAAGTAAGTTCTTTAAACGAAAAAACACTTTTTTGTTTCTTTGTTAGTTCAAGGTCATGTACTTAAATTTCTGTCTAGGTAAAACAATATTAAATTAGTAATTTTGCGTGGGCATCCTATCGGTCAAAGAAATTGGGTCTGCTATGGAATATCATCTATCTAGTAATTGTATAATATCATCTATCTAGTATTTGTATAATATCATCTATCTAGTAATTGTATAATATCATCTATCTAGTAATTGTATAATATCATCTATCTAGTAATTGTATAATATCATCTATCTAGTAATTGTATAATATCATCTATCTAGTAATTGTATAATATCATCTATCTAGTAATTGTATAATATCATCTATCTAGTAATTGTATAATATCATCTATCTAGTAATTGTATAATATCATCTATCTAGTAATTGTATAATATCATCTATCTAGTAATTGTATAATATCATCTATCTAGTATTTGCATCATAGCATAATCTAGTGATTGTATCATAACATCTAGCTAAGAATTGTGACATACGCTCTAGCTAGTAATATACTTTGGTTAGTAAAATTACCTTGCAGAATAAGATTATGATCGGTGGAAATGATTAAGAAGTTTACACATTCCTTCAATACAATAAGATTAACATTAGTTCTACTGTCCACACTGGTATTTAGATATTCTGACGTCATCTTTGTCTAAATATTTTATTGGCACAACCAGATTCCAAACTGTTTCTTTCAAATTAGAAATGATTTAAATGGTATTATAGAAATCAGTATAATATACTTAGAACATTGCACCTTTGGCTTTGCTTTGTATGGAGCAGTTTATCTGAGTATTAGCCAATCCAAGTGGTAGCTTATCTAATTACTCTTGTATCGTCCAGGCACAACATCACCCTGAACAGGAAGCTCTACTCCATTCAACGTATCAAGCGGGTGCCCACCTGGGAGTATTCTCTTAAGATGATCAAGACTAAGACAGGGGAAGAAGAGACAACTGAGACCGTAAGTATACAAGCAGAGGACAATCGACACTCCGACCTGGGCAAACCATTAAAAGAGAAAATATAAGAAAAGATAAGTCTTTCGGTAAATAAAACAAGACAGACAACTTGGACTCAAGGTAGGATAAGGGGCGCTCACCCAGAGAACCAATCAGAAACATGTTATACAATAACATAAAAATGACAACGAAAAGTTGTCTTCAAATAATTCCAAACGGAACTTATTTTGACAATGAAAGAAATGTTAGAATAAGAATATAGGTCAGTGAATCTTGATCAATTATTAGCACCGCAACCATATTGATTTCAAAACATGATCTGCATCCCATCTGGATTAGGAAACATATTTCCCTCATATTCCCCCGCCCCAAATGATTAAAACATGCAAACAACGTGATTTTATCTCGTTCTCCCCAAGGCTCGCCCACCCCAGGAGTTGCGTGCACTCCTGTATAGGAACCCTGAAAAAGATGATCTTTCAAATATCTTCTAGCCCCTTCCAGATGATACCCGCCAATAATAGCTCATTAACATACTACGCATTCAATGTTTGTTGTTTGATATTTGATGGCTATGATTGAGGTTCTCTTATTATGTAACTCGCTCACAGGGTCTGGAGGAAATCATCTGCGCCAAGAAAGTCATCCTTGCCGTCCCCAAGCAGCAGCTGTCCGTTATCCAATGGGAACCACTCAAGTATGTGGCTAGTTATTTATAGCTTGCTTGTCTCAGAAAGAAAGGCGCGCAAAGCGAAAAACCTTATAAAAACTGTATAACAATAACATAGCATTGTTTTTATTATTAAACACCGAAAACTACAACTATAAAACATTGTCTTTACCGTACTGATATCCCCAAATCTTATCGTGGTTTTCCAAAACAAATATAATATCTCATTGACCCATGTCTTCTTACTATTCAGATCAGAATTGGTGTCCAAGGCCATTGACGCTGTGCGACCAGTTCCCATCAGCAAGATCGCCATGAGTTTCAGCCAGTCCCACTGGCTGACCGGAGCCAACCAGGCCCTGGCCAAGTTCAGCGACGAGATGCTCGGAAACATCTACGACCTCGGCAAGTCCAACGACTCGAACAGGTTCGTCCTGCTGGCCAGCTACACTGAGGGAGAGGATGTTGAACGCCTGGAGGCGCTCAACCAAGATGAAGAGCACATGGTCGGGTCCATAGAGGGAGAGCACTGCGTGTCTAATGAGCTCAAGGACGAGGTCATCAGACTTCTGAAGAAAATTTACGGAGTCAACTTCTCTGACCCCACGAAGGCCGTGTCCAGGTTCTGGAACAAGAGCCCTTTCGAAGGTGGCGTATCTCAATGGAGGGCCGGGTATCACTACGATGAGGTCATCAGCATCCTGCGTCATCCTTCCCCTATCGATGACGTTTACATCGTGGGCGGAGATCACGGGTGGGGCAACAGCCAGAGGTGGACAGAGGGGGCCCTCGAGTCCGTGGAGATGGTGCTTGAGCGCCATTTTTCTGATGAGTAAACGAGTCGTAACCATAGCAACACTACGTCGGGCTGAAGACACATGAATATAATTTGTAATGAACAGAGGAGAGTACTAGAAAATTGCTTTCAAATCTAAACTTGGCATAATTGTTTTGTTTTAAATGCAGATAGATCATTCCAGCACCACATAGGCAACACCCAACGAAGTGTTAGTACCATTTGTAATGCGTCATGGGTTGTATGTTGGCTGGGATGTTTTGTCAAACGCCAAGAGGGCAACAGTCAAATAAAAATTAGCAATAATAAACAGAGTGTTCTCATCATTTCCAAACTCTATAAACTCTCTGAACTCTCTAAACTCTCTGAACTCTCTAAACTCTCTTAATAGCGTTTTAAAAAGTGTTTTGTGTCAAGTGTTTTGATTAGAGATCGTATTTGATAATTGTTAATGTGATACAATGGACGGCAACCCAAGACTCTGGAGACACATTACGGTTATAAGTAGGAATAGATAGGGCTCTTTGGAGGAATAGATAGGGCTCTTTGAAGGAATAGATGGGGCTCTTTGAAGGAATAGATAGGGCTCTTTGAAGGAATAGATAGGGCTCTTTGAAGGAATAGATGCGGCTCTTTGGAGGAATAGATAGGGCTCTTGAAGGAATAGATAGGGCTCTTTGAAGGAATAGATAGGGCTCTTTAAAGGAATAGATAGGGCTCTTTGGAGGAATAGATAGGGCTCTTTGAAGGAATAGATAGGGCTCTTGAAGGAATAGATAGGGCTCTTTGAAGAAATAGATAGCGCTCTTTGACGGAATAGATAGGGATCTTTGAGGGAATAGATGGGTCTATTTGAAAGAATGTGTGGTGCTCTTCAAATAAATAGATGGAGATCTTTGAATGAATAGGTGGTGCTCTTGAAATAAATAGATGGAGGTCTTTGAAGGAATGGGTGGTGCTCTTGAAATAAATAGATGGAGGTCTTTGAAGGAATGGGTGGTGCTCTTGAAATAAATAGATGGAGGTCTTTGAAGGAATAGGTGGTGCTCTTGAAATAAATAGATGGAGGTCTTTGAAGGAATTGGTGGTGCTCTTGAAATAAATAGATGGAGGTCTTTGAAGGAATAGGTGGTGCTCTTGAAATAAATAGATGGGGGTATTTGAAGGTGGTGCTCTTGAAATAAATAGATGGAGGTCTTTGAAGGAATAGGTGGTGCTCTTGAAATAAATAGAGTGAGGTTCTTTAAGGAATAGGTGGTGCTCTTGAAATAAATAGATGGGACTCTTTGAAGGAATAGGTGGTGCTCTTGAAATAAATAGATGGAGGTCTTTGAAGGAATAGGTGGTGCTCTTGAAATAAATAGATGGAGGTTCTTTAAGGAATAGGTAGTGCTCTTGAAATAAATAGATAGAGGTCTTTGAAGGAATAGGTGGTGCTCTTGAAATAAATAGATGGAGGTCTTTGAATGAATAGGTGGTGCTCTTGAAATAAATAGATGGGACTCTTTGAAGGAATTGGTGGTGCTCTTGAAATAAATAGATGAAGGTCTTTGAAGGAATGGGTGGTGCTCTTGAAATAAATAGATGGGACTCTTTGAAGGAATGGGTGGTGCTCTTGAAATAAATAGATGGAGGTCTTTGAAGGAATGGGTGGTGCTCTTGAAATAAATAGATGGGACTCTTTGAAGGAATGGGTGGTGCTCTTGAAATAAATAGATGGAGGTCTTTGAAGGAATAGGTGGTGCTCTTGAAATAAATAGATGGGACTCTTTGAAGGAATAGGTGGTGCTCTTGAAATAAATAGATGGAGGTCTTTGAAGGAATAGGTGGTGCTCTTGAAATAAATAGATGGAGGTTCTTTAAGGAATAGGTAGTGCTCTTGAAATAAATAGATAGAGGTCTTTGAAGGAATAGGTGGTGCTCTTGAAATAAATAGATGGAGGTCTTTGAATGAATAGGTGGTGCTCTTGAAATAAATAGATGGAACTCTTTGAAGGAATTGGTGGTGCTCTTGAAATAAATAGATGGAGGTCTTTGAAGGAATAGGTGGTGCTCTTGAAATAAATAGATGGAGGTTCTTTAAGGAATAGGTGGTGCTCTTGAAATAAATAGATGGGACTCTTTGAAGGAATAGGTGGTGCTCTTGAAATAAATAGATGGAGGTCTTTGAAGGAATAGGTGGTGCTCTTGAAATAAATAGATGGAGGTTCTTTAAGGAATAGGTAGTGCTCTTGAAATAAATAGATAGAGGTCTTTGAAGGAATAGGTGGTGCTCTTGAAATAAATAGATGGAGGTCTTTGAATGAATAGGTGGTGCTCTTGAAATAAATAGATGGGACTCTTTGAAGGAATTGGTGGTGCTCTTGAAATAAATAGATGAAGGTCTTTGAAGGAATGGGTGGTGCTCTTGAAATAAATAGATGGGACTCTTTGAAGGAATGGGTGGTGCTCTTGAAATAAATAGATGGAGGTCTTTGAAGGAAAAGGTGGTGCTCTTGAAATAAATAGATGGAGGTCTTTGAAGGAATTGGTGGTGCTCTTGAAATAAATAGATGGGACTCTTTGAACGAATGGGTGGTGCTCTTGAAATAAATAGATGGAGGTCTTTGAAGGAATAGGTGGTGCTCTTGAAATAAATAGATGGAGGTTCTTTAAGGAATAGGTGGTGCTCTTGAAATAAATAGATGGGACTCTTTGAAGGAATAGGTGGTGCTCTTGAAATAAATAGATGGAGGTCTTTGAAGGAATAGGTGGTGCTCTTGAAATAAATAGATGGAGGTTCTTTAAGGAATAGGTAGTGCTCTTGAAATAAATAGATAGAGGTCTTTGAAGGAATAGGTGGTGCTCTTGAAATAAATAGATGGAGGTCTTTGAATGAATAGGTGGTGCTCTTGAAATAAATAGATGGGACTCTTTGAAGGAATTGGTGGTGCTCTTGAAATAAATAGATGAAGGTTTTTGAAGGAATGGGTTGTGCTCTTGAAATAAATAGATGGGACTCTTTGAAGGAATGGGTGGTGCTCTTGAAATAAATAGATGGAGGTCTTTGAAGGAATGGGTGGTGCTCTTGAAATAAATAGATGGAGGTCTTTGAAGGAATGGGTGGTGCTCTTGAAATAATAGTGAAATAATAGTATGACATTTAACAATTCTTCCCTAACAGCAGCTCCCAATATATTTTCTTTATGTTTTTCATTCATAAACAAAGGCTCCTCGCTTTAAAAAACGCCTCAGAACCAGATAAAATATTTTAAAATTGGCCCCAGCTGTCGTACACCGATACGGCAATTTACCGACTGAAGATCATCTGGAGATACGCTTACAAGCCTGAACTCAAACAAAACATTAAGTAAGCTAGGGATGTTACCGCAATGGCAACTACATTTTGTAACCTAGGGATATTTCTGCGATTGCAACTACATTAAGTAATCTAGGGATGTTACTGAAGTACAACATTGAGTCATCTAGAGATGTTACTGCAGTACAATATTAAGTAATCTAGAGATGTTACTGTACTAAAATATTAAGTAATCTAGAGATGTTACTGTAATACAATATTAAGTAATCTAGAAATGTTACTGTAGAGCAATATTAAGTAATCTAGAGATGTTACTGTAATACAATATTAAGTAATCTAGAGATGTTACTGTAGAACAATATTAAGTAATCTAGAGATGTTACTGTAGTACAATATTAGGTAATCTGGAGATGTTACTGTAGTACCATATGAAGTAATCTTGAGATGTTACTGCACTACAATAGAGGTGTTACTGTAGTACAACTTAAAGTAATCTAGAAATGTTACTGAAATACAACAACATTAAGTGATCTAGAGATGTTACTACAATAAAACTAAATTAAGTTCTCTACAGAGGTTACTGAGATACAACAAAATTAAGTAATCTAGAGATGTTACTGCAATATATCATTAAGTAATTTAGAGATATTACTGTAGAAAAACATTAAGTAATCTAGAGACAATACTGTAGTACAATATTAAGTAATCAGAGATGTTACTACAATATAACTAAATTAATTAATCTAGAGAGGTTACTGCAATTCAACAAAATTAAGTAATCTAGAGATTTTACTGCAGTATAACAACATTATGTAATTTAGAAATTTTGTCACTCTCTCATCATGAAACTTTTGTTACTCTTTTGATGACACTTTTGTTTCTCTTGTGGTTATACTTTTTTTTTTACTCTTTTGGTGACATTTTTGTTATTCTTTTGATGACACTTTTGTTTCTCTTTTGGTTACACTTTTTTTTACTCTTTTGGTGACATTTTTGTTATTCATTTGATGACACTTTTGTTTCTCTTTTGGTTACACTTTTTTTACTCTTTTGGTGACATTTTTGTTATTCTTTTGATGACACTTTCGTTTCTCTTTTGGTTACACTTTTTTTTTACTCTTTTGGTGACATTTTTGTTATTCTTTTGATGACACTTTTGTTTCTCTTTTGGTTACACTTTTTTTACTCTTTGGTGACATTTTTGTTATTCTTTTGATGACACTTTTGTTTCTCTTTTGGTTACACTTTTTTTACTCTTTTGGTGACATTTTTGTTATTCTTTTGATGACACTTTTGTTTCTCTTTTGGTTACACTTTTTTTTTACTCTTTTGGTGACATTTTTGTTATTCTTTTGATGACACTTTTGTTTCTCTTTTGGTTACACTTTTTTTACTCTTTTGGTGACATTTTTGTTATTCTTTTGATGATACTTTTGTTTCTCTTTTGGTTACACTTTTTTTACTCTTTTGGTGACATTTTTGTTATTCATTTGATGACACTTTTGTTCTTCTTTTGATGACACTTTTGTTTCTCTTTTGTTTACACTTTTTTTTTACTCTTTTGGTGACATTTTTGTTATTCTTTTGATGACACTTTTGTTTCTCTTTTGGTTACACTTTTTTTTTACTCTTTTGGTGACATTTTTGTTATTCTTTTGATGACACTTTTGTTTCTCTTTTGGTTACACTTTTTTTTTACTCTTTTGGTGACATTTTTGTTATTCTTTTGATGACACTTTTGTTTCTCTTTTGGTTACACTTTTTTTTTACTCTTTTGGTGACATTTTTGTTATTCTTTTGATGACACTTTTGTTTCTCTTTTGGTTACACTTTTTTTTTACTCTTTTGGTGACATTTTTGTTATTCTTTTGATGACACTTTTGTTTCTCTTTTGGTTACACTTTTTTTTTACTCTTTTGGTGACATTTTTGTTATTCTTTTGATGACACTTTTGTTTCTCTTTTGGTTACACTTTTTTTTTACTCTTTTGGTGACATTTTTG